GGGGGCGGGGGGGGGCAGATGGGCCCTGGAGTCTGCATGTCCGTAGGTGATGCAGCCTGTCATGTTACACCTTGTTTGATAGAGGAGGGTGGGTGTGTTGTTTGCTCAAAACTGTAAGTAGGAGTGCTAATGCCGGATCAAGGGTCAGATTGCATTCAAGCAGGTACAAAATTCCACTCCTGCTTCATGCCACTGCGATTAAAGCCATAGGCTGGTGCCTTGTGGTTTGTGGAGGCAGATGCACCTCAGCTTCTAAAGTTTGAGGGAAGGTGTTGAGCTGGGCAGGGGGTTTTGCTGGGCATCACTGATTGTTGGGAAGCTGGGTCCTGGTAGGGGCCCGTGGAGGACAGACTCCCTCAGAATACCGCTTGTGGGTCTCCTCCCCTGCTCCCCCGCCCCCCCACATTCCCAGGGGTTAGCTTACCAGATTCCCCCACTGCGGCCAGGCAGAGTCAGGGGACAAGAGGGGAGGATGTGAGTTCTCTTCTACACAGGCTGCCAGTCCTGCGTGTCCGGCTCACAGAGTCCAGGGTGCAGAGAAGTGAGGACAGTCCACAGGTCTGACCCCAAAACACACAGTGGGGGCTTGGCTGAAATACATAAAGCTCATTCCAGCTGTAGGAGGGTTTGGGTTCAGAGGTAGGCAGGGCCGTCGTAGCTGGAAGCCCAGAGCACAGAACAGTCATCACGCTGAGGGTGAAGCAGGGGCAGGCAGGGGCATGAAGGGTTTGGCTCCTAATTCTGCCCAGACAAGAAAGAAGCAGAACTCCAGGCAAAACGCAGGCTGCTCACGGGGCCTGGCTTTGAAGGAGGGTTGGGGTGGGGGGAGGAAGCCAGGCTCGGCGTGGGTAGGACCGCTTTTCCTTTCAGAAGAGGCGGGAGCACTCCAGACATTGCTGCCCCCTTCATTCCTTGAATAGCACGCTTAGCAAATGGCAAGGTTAACGTGCTTCGGCCTAGAATTTCATTAGTCGGGCTCTAGCCCCAGGAAACACCATAAAAGGCTTATGTACAAAGTGTTGGGTATGTAGTGAAAACCTGGAAACTACCTATATACCTCCTCCCCCCAAATAGACCAATGATTAAGTAAATGGTGTTTAAAATGTTCATAATATTATAACTTAAAGAGTAAAAATGCTAAAGGTATAAGTAAGGGGAAACGTACGGAGCAGAGAAAAGTCTAGAAGGAGTTCTGGAGGCTAGAAGCCTGAAATCAAGGGTTTCCTCCCGAAACTAGTAGGGGAGAATGTGTCCTTGCCTCTTCTGCTTCTGGCATTTGCAGGCTGTCAAGGAAACTCCCAGATTTTTTTCCTTCCAATGTAGGGAGAAACCTGGTTTCTCTCTCTCTCTCTCTCTCTCTCTCTCTCCCTCTCTCTCTCTTTCTCTTGTTCCCCGCCCCCCACTCATTCACGTTTGCACAGAACACTCCACTGCGGACACTTCTGGTCACCAAATGTTTTTCCCCACCAAGCAATTCTCTGTGACACCCGCTGGGTATCCTACAATTTAACTCAATTCTGACACAGTCGACACAGAGATAGTGTCAGGTTCCACAGGCTGAGGGCTCAGTCCCACAAGACTGCCCATCCCCCCCACACACACTTCAGCTGTGGTCACAGGCCTGGTGGGAGGTCCCAATGTCCCCGCTCCTTGGATTTGATTAATTTGCTAGAGTGGCTCTCAGAACTCAGGGACACACTTACTTATGTTCACCAGCTTATTTTATTTATTTTTTAAAATATATTTTTATTAATTTCAGAGAGGCAGGGAGAGGGAGGGAGAGATAGAAACATCAATGATGAGAGAGAATCATTGAATGGCTGCCTCCTGCATGCTCCCCTCACTGGGGATTGAGCCCACAACCTGGGCATGTGCCCTTGACCAGAATCGAAAGAATCATTTATCAGCTGCCTCTTGCACGCCCCCTACTGGGGATTGAGCCACAACCTGGGCATGTGCCCTTGACCAGAATCGAACCCAGGACCCTCCAGTCCACAGGCCGACGCTCTATCCACTGAGCCAAACCGGCTAGGGCCAGCAGTTTATTAAAGTATCTGCTAAAGGAAACGATAGCCAGATGGACGAGACGCACAGGGCAGGGTATATGGGAAGGGGTGTGCACTTCTAAGCCCTCTCCGAGCACACCGCTCTCCCAGTGCTCACCACCCAGCAGCTCTCCGAACCCGGCCTGTGGGGATTTTTATGGAGGCTTCATCTCATAGGCACGATTGATCATTAACTCCATCTCAACTCCTTCCCTGTCTCAGGAGAATGGGTGTGCCGGGCTGGAAATTCCAAGCTGCTCCTCCTGGCTTGGTCTTTCTGGTGATCGGCCCCTATCCGGGAGCCATCAGGAGCCCACCCAGAGTTGCCTCATTAGAATAAAGACACTGACATCACCGGGGAAATTATAAGGGTTTCAGGAGCTCTGTGCCAGGACGTGGGGCAGAGACCAATATATGTATTTTCTGTGATCTCACGCAGGCAATCCTCGGTGTCCGTTGGCTTGGAGGTGCATCTCCCAATCCCTGCCTCCATCGTCACATGACCATCTTCTCCCTGCGTGCCTCTCAGTGCGTAAATCGTCCTCTTTCTATGAGGACACCAGTCCTATTAGCGGCACTGGGGCCACCCTAACCCTGTGTAACTTTATCTCAACCTGATTACATCTGCAAAGACCCTGTTGCCAGATGAGATCCCACCCAGAGGTACCAGCTGTTAAGACTTCAATGCCTTTTGCGGGGACATAATTCAACCCATAGCGAGTAGCATATCTGCTTCTTTGCGGTTGTAGGGTCTTGGGCAAGACCGTTCTGAGGCTCAGTTTCCTCATCAGGACAGTTCAGAGTACAGGCTTTTTCAAAGGGTCCCCCCAGCTGTAACTTTCTGTCCGAGGGTCCCCATCCAGCTTATAGACTCCCTCCTTCCCCTGAGAAGCTGTAGGGGCTCATGAGTTAGCTGGCTTCTGGCCCCAGCCAGCCACTTGCAGACAAGGAGCTGGAGACGGAAACTGCCAGGCGGAGGGCCTTGTTCAGCTTCTCCCACGGTGTGGCCAGCCTCTGACCTCCTTTGCTGGGACTTGGGACCAGGCCCCTGGGCCCGGTGAGCACAGCGAGGCGTCTCTGTAGAGCAGCTGCTCTCATCCGTCCTGTGGATGGTTGCCGCAGCTCCGGCTGAGCTGCCCGCGTGTGGCTGCTTCATTCTCGCACTGCCGCAGCGCGGCCCCAGTCCCGTGACCTTTTCAACAGGAGGACTTACGCTTGTCGTCCTTCCGCGTAGAAGTCTTCAAAACCTCCCCTCAGGCTGCGATATAAAGATCAAACTCTGCCGCACAGGATCTGAAGCCGACTGGTCCCTCTTCCCTTCCTCACAGCCCCTGAGGCCCACCCCGCCTCCCCCCGAACTATTTGGAGTTTTCCAGATTCGCAGCAGTTTTCTGCTCTCCCCTCCTGCCCTCCTAACCTGGCCCACTCCTCACAAACTTCAGCGCTCAGCCCAGGATCCGCTCCTCCTCCACCTCGGGTTTGCATCACGCCCTACATTGATTATCTGTTATTGTGTAACAATTACCCCAAAGCTTAACGTCTTAGACAACAAACATTTATCACCCCACACCGTCTCTAAGGGTCGGGTAATCCCAACCAGCTCAGCGGCAAGATTCTGGCTCAGAGACGCTCATGAGGTTGTAGCCAAAATGTTGCCCAAGGCTTGGCTGGCTGGAGGACCCCTGTCCAAGCTCACTCACATGGGTAGTGGCTGGAGCCTCAGTTTCTACTTCACTCTGCATAGGGGCTGCTCACAATGTGGCAGCTAACTTTTCCCAGAGT